CACCAACAAGCAGGGTCAGCGAGCAGAGATTCCTAAAAGGGAAAAAGGGGGAGTGGGCATGAGGAATACACGGGAGTTGGAGTTGGGTGCAAGTCTTCTCATTCTGCTGTCAGCAGAAGTTTATTTTATACATTTTAGGCAGCAATTAACATGAATTGGGCTGAGACAACAATCTTTTTTCTGACAGCAGTTTGGGTTGTATAGACCTTCAGCTAAGATTATAACATTATTAATCTATTAAAATTAAGATAAATCCATAAAATTTAAAGCTAACATTTTTTAGTGATGGTTGGCTAAAAATAAAATTCCTTTAGGCCTAAAATGCTATTCTATGACTTTTATTTTTACTAAGACATCTTAGAGGGTAAAGTAAAGTCAAGGATTAGGGTGGAAATGTGAAGGATCAAGTAAGGTAGTGGGCTAGGGTGGAGAGATTCTCTCGTAAGTCAACCACAAAGAGATATAGTAAGTTTTTTCAAAAGCTGAATAGAGGGTTTAGGTGAAGTTCCTTATTTGAAGTTTAGACAACAGAAAACTTAAGCAGTTCTTTAGAAGGATTATATGAGATAGAGGAGATGGGATTTGGGTTTCTGTCCAGGCAGTGATTATTCTAGTACTGCCTTGTCTTACAATATTAATTTTATTATAATTGTTTTTATTAATCAGCCAATTGTAATATTTTTGATTCCAAGAGGACTTTCTCATCCTGAGGCAGCGCTTGCTCACCTGAGCCAGGCAGCACCTTATGAGGCTGAGGCAGTCCAGTAGAAAACTGATGGTTACTTGGAATATTTTGATTATACAGAAAAGGGGAATCATAACATGAGCTAGTGTGGGAATTCTGATTTTTCAGGGCATTTCCCCTCCATCCTGAATATGTCTGACAATAGAGGTTGCTTAGCTTGTGTCAAGTAGTAAGTAAGTTGGGTAAGGCATAACCTTCCCTGGAGTGTTTGCATTTTAGCAGAAGACTGCTTTTTTTTTTTTTTTTTTTAAAGATTTATTTATTTATTCATACAGAACTGGGGTACAGGCCAGAGATGTGGAGGGTGAGAGGATTCACCAGAGACAGAGCAGGGAGCAGAACAGGCAGATCGACGAAGTACACTGCTGAGGGGAGCAGCGGGCGGGTCAGGAGAGGTCTGCCTCGCCATGTGGTCGCCTCCGGGGCAGGCGGGGATCAAACTCATGCGGAAGTGGCTTCAGTTTCTTAGTGCAGTGCTTTAACCCGCTGCACCACCAGGGAGGGCCCAGAAGACTGCTTTTAAGAAAAGGGTTGCTGCAGGCCTTTAACCCAGTAATTCTACCTCTAAATTTCCCATAAGTGAAAAAAGAGAGACAGGAGAGATCTGTAAAGCAAGATATTAATTTCTATGTTATTATTATTAGAAAAAATCTGAAATAAATCATTTCAACATTGTGGAGTTTCTAAGTAAGTTACAGTATATCCATACAATAGAAGACGGCACCACCATCAGAGGTCAAGTTCAAGGGTTTAAGTAATTAATTAATCAAAAAAAATTAAGAATTTTCATGTGCTTTGGTTATTGCATTATTTTATTCCTTTTTAATAAATAACGGCCTATATGTAAGTGTACCAATTTTGATTCCTTTACCTTATATCCAGCAACTTTACAGACCTCTAACAGCTTTCCAGTGATTCTTGATTGTTGTAGGTATATAATATCTTCTATAAATAATACTTTTACTCCTCTTTTCCAATGCTCGTTTTTTGTTCCATGTCTCAGTAAATGGACTCAAATTTTCAATGATATTTCTGAAGGAACAGTAATCACACATGTTCATATCTTAGGACTGATTTGATTAGAAATGCCTCCAGATTTTTGTTACTACATGGTGTAGTATGTAACATTTGTTACTTTGTCAAGTTTAAGGGCTATTTTTACTTTCTTTAAAAAAGTTTACTCTATTTAGTTTTCAAATAACAAATGGATATTGAATTTAGCAAATGTTTTAGAATATGTATTGAATGTCCTATTTTGCTGTTATATCTTACTGTTATGCTGTTTTGACAACCTCCCTAATAGTCATCTTTAAATTTCAAAATAAGTTTTGTTTATTGTAAATTTTTCTTTGTTTATGCATTTGGATTCTACTTTGTTTACCTGTATTTGTAAGTGAAAGTGGTTTATAGTTTTCTGGATGTGTGTGTCTATTCTACTTTTTCGACTTTTGGTAAATTGAATATAGCTCTATAAAATGAATTGGTTAATTTGCCTTTTTTAATAAGCAGAAACAGTTTTGTAGCATGGGCATAGATAGGCAGATAGACATAATATAAACAAATAGATTTATTTAATTATAAATTATTATTCATCTGTAAAACATTATGTTAGTGCTGGTTATTTATAGTTTTCCACAAAAGTACTTGTTTCTTTGGGATTTAAATTTGCATACAATTGTTTATAATATTCTTTTATATATTTATACCTCTTTATGTCTTTTGCTGTGTTGCTCTTTGTATGCATTTAAATTATTCCTTACCTGAATAATGATCATTTGGATTTATTTACTATTGCTCTTGCTTTCTATCTTCTAATTCCGTGGCTTTGCTTTTATCTTCATTTTCATTCATCTTTTTTACATTTCTTTAGGCTGTTGATTATTCACTTTGCTTTTCTAATTTCTTGAGATAAGCACCAAGATTTGGGGTTACTTTATTTTGATTCTTGTTCAAAGTATGACAGCAGAACAAAGAGGGAAAGAAGCACAATGCATTATGGGAGAAGAGTAAGGGTGATTTGGTAGTGGGAGTACCCCTGACATGGGAATCCTAACACTAGCTTCATTTAAAAAGTTAATTAATTTTTTAAAAGCGTGACACCTAACGTAGTTTTAAACATATTGTTAGTAATAAATTATGAAAGCTATGAATTAACTCTGCTCTTTTGGCAATTTTCTGTGCAATTGCTTGGTTAATTTGTTTTTGCATACTCAAGGAATAAGAAAAATTACTTAAGCAAGTGTGTATATATTTCGAAGTTTCTAGTATTCTGCTTATTGTTTAAAATGATGCCATCCATTTAAGAAATCTGTTTTAAAGTTTTGTTTATTAGCACTGAGGTCAAAAAACATGGCTTGTACTGTTTTCAATTTGAAAAGTGAGTTTTTCTTGTGACCTACCTAATGTAAAATCAACTTAAATTATTTGTGTCACCTGGATGACAGCATTTTAAATCATTTGTATTATATGAAAATACCTTTTATATAAATACTATATTATACAAATCTAATGACTAATGACCTGCCTTACATTATAATTTATATTAAATTCTCCCGCCACAATTATTTTTATCTATCTTGATTCATATAGCTAATGTTTTCTGTTTTATGTATTTGACTCCGTACTTCAGGACAGTGTCATCTATTAGGATAAATGATCCTTTTTACTACCTTTTTGAGCATTTTGCTACCTTGAATCTTAGTTGCCCAATATTAATAATAGTCCGTTCTATTTTTGTTCAAAATGGCCTAAACTTTATTCATCCTCTGTTTAAGCTTTCTTTACCCTTTTTGTTACAAAATATTATTCTGTATTTTCATAATACTTTTGTTAATGTCATATATACATATATTTTTAATTTATTGATTTGCCAGTTGTTTACATAAGTATGATTTGGGGGTACAGATTGACACCTCCCTCAATCACATGCTCTGTTTTCCTCCCACCAATGCTCCATTTCTGTAACTTGATCCCTCCTGCCTCCAGGCACCCCTCTGGTAGCGAGAACATTTTCACAGAGACTAAGAATGAATTTTGTTGTACTTCACCAGTATTTTCCCTATATTTACATTCTGCAAATGAGTGAAAGCATCCAAAAGCTATCATTTACTTTCTGACCTACTAAACTTTGTATGATCACCTCAGCATTCCCCTGTTTTGTACCAAAGGGTACCTCCAGAAACCCTTTCTATAGTTTTTACAAGATATTTTAAAGTTTTGATCAAATGAATTTGTTTTTTAACTTATCTGAAAGTCTTTGCCTTTCTAAATGAAAATGTTACCATTTACTTATATGGTTATTATTTTTACATTAGATATTCTTTTCATCCTCTTCTATATTTCCATATATATGTATGTGTTGATTATTGGGCTTGATGCTATCATATAACTGTTTCCTATTCTCTCTTTTAAATTAGACTATGTTTTGTTTTCTATGCAATGATTTCTAAGGTTAACTCTTTTTAATAAATGTATTTTAATACTTGTATGAACCTTTTTAAAAATACTTAAATCATGTCCTTGTTACTTCCTAAAAAACAGGGTTCTGCTGAATGCACAGATAGTGCATATATCGACCTTTCGCGAAGAATTGCTTCCTTCTCTCAGAAATGTAACTTCTTATCAGGTATGAGAACACACACTGTTGCTGCCTTGTCAGTGCTGTTTGTTGGGGAAAGCTGACCACATTTCTAACCACTCAGAATAAAATCCTCTTCATTAAAGATTTTTTCTCTTCATGCTATAATGGGGAAAGAGTTTGTTTCACTTATGGCCAAATCAGTATTTCTTATACCAAGAGTTGGCTTTTCTGCCACCTGAAATAGCTGTATGGACCCCACAGTAAGGAGCATTCCTGCCGGCTCACCAGGGTCATAGGACTTAAGTTTTCCCATTAGAGAGCCATCCCTGTAAGTTAAGTGTTGCTTTTAACAGTCACTGACAAAAATACAAAAAGTTAAAAAGCACCGATATTGACTGAGGTATTAACACCTTGAGATTCGCTGACTCCCTAAATACACCGGGCTCAGAGGAGAGGAACAGTGGGAAGGCAGCAGGCAGAGGCCAGAGAGGCAGCCTCCACCTACCACACAGGGTTTCCGACACAGGTAAATGGATGCTGATTCCTGTACGGTCAGGTGCTAGTCTACATTGTTCTTTCTGTGTACACAATGAATTGAAACCTGATTTTTTTTTTCAGAGGAGGCTTTTTTCCCGAGGTTTTGTGTAGGCTGTCCAGAAAATTTACCTCTTAACAGCTCAGATATGAATAAGCTTCTGAGTCTTACATCCATACGGCTTAATGCAGCCATTAATAGCAGATTCTATTTCAAGATTGCCAATGTGCAAAGAGCAACATCTCAGGTCTGTAAACAATGGTACCAAAATAATGATATACCATCTATGTGCAAATTGTTTATTAATTTTGCCACTGATCTTGATTCTGAATTTGGAAGATTTGAATTTCACACTATGAACTTCACTGTAATCTTGGTGTGTGATGTTGGAAAAGGCACTCAGAATATTCTCTGCATTTTTGATTTATAAAGTGGGGTGATGATTAAAGAAGATAATATGAATCAATCATTTTTCAAATTCTAAACCACTATAAAAATACGAGTCACTATTATATAGTAAAAATTTAGGACTAGTAAAGCAAGGCTTATTTTATGCCTTTCTAGATTCATCTCTCATTGTAACATTCTTAGAACCTTGAGCTCAGTCACAACAGTGAATTGCTATTACCCAGACTCTTCACATTTTCATATCCCTGTCATTTTCCCCAACCCCCTGTCTGGGGGAAGCTCTGGGTGTCCTCTGTCTTCCACACCTGTCAACAGAGGATGAGGAGATCTCTGGGCTGCTCAACATACCCAGCTCTATCCCTTATCAACTGCTCCCATCCTGGGCCCTGGACTGTCCTTCAGCCTCAGCCCGCCTTTGTGACCCCAACTGTAGCAGGATTAGTGAAGCCCAAATCCCTTCCATCTCCAACAGCCTAGTGCAATTGTGGACAGGTTGCTGATATAGATCCTCAAACTTGGTTTCCTTAAGTACAAGCTTAAAAGAAGTCATCAAAATAGAATCCCATTGGAGCAAACTGACACGATGTTTATATCTGAACAACAACAAAATCTTACTAAAAATTTTATGCTTCTGACTCAGGATTTGTACAGTTCTAAAACAGAGTTTTTATCTGCTATGATATTGACTGTGGCTTTAACTAGAAGAGCAAAAACTTCTTCTCTGTCAAAATAAAAATAATACAGAAATGGTCAGATAAAGTCTGGCATAACCTTATCACGTACCATCAGGAAGCAATTTTGTAGTAACTCTAGGAAGCAATTTTTAAGTAACTGTGAGTCATTCTCAGAAGGGGAATTGTCTTATGTTAAAAGAGGCAGTGACGCAAAGAGGTCATAAAATTGGATGTACCTTGTGTCACTGTGTTATAAAGAATGAAACAAATGGCTCCGTCTATTCACAGTGATGATTTTTAGGGGATGGCACAGTGGGCAGTTTTGTTTTCATCTGCTAGGTTCCTGCTTTAGTTTTATTCTTGGGGAAAACAATCAAACTGTGCTAAAATAAAACAAAACTGACACTTTAATCTCTCTACTATTCAGGCACTTATTTCTGTCCTGAGCACAAGCCCTCCCTGATTTCTCGGGCACATGACCCGCATGAGTTTATTTATTTATTTATTTATTCTAACAGTTTATTTTACATTTTTACATTTTTTTTTCAATCTCAATTGTACCGCATGAGTTTATTTTAAGGGGATCTCAATCCATGATACCTTTGCATTTGCCCCTTTCTATTTCTTCTCACTTTCTGATTTCTTGTGATATTCCTTTGCTTCTAATGATGACAGAATAATCCAGAGCTAGGCTATATATTGAATGTCAAAATTCTGTTGAGAAAATCACCTATACTCATGCATAAGCATCTAGTCCTCTTAGAAGTTCTAATTTTCCTTGTAAATCAACTAGTTAATGGTATAATATATGTGCTCTTGTTTTTGCTAAGGATGAACAATAAGTAATACAGTAAATGGAAGGGAAGTGGCATCCCTTCAGTTGCTAATTCAAGTTGAAATCTTCAAGTATTTCAAACTTACTTTTAAAAATCGCCCTCCCTGGTGGGCCATTGAAGCACAGCACTGAGAAGCTTGGGTCACTTCTGCATGGGTTCGATCCCCGCCTGCCCAGGAGGTGATCCACATGGCGTGGCAGACCTCTCCTGACCTGCCCGCTGTGCCCCTCAGCAGTGTGCTTCCTTGATCTGCCTGTTCTGCTCCCCACTCTGTCTCTGGTGAATCCTCTCGTCCTCCGCATCTCTGACCTGTACCCCAGTTCTGTATGAATAAATAAATAAATCTTAAAAAAAAGATTTATTTATTTATGCACACACAATGGGTACAAGCCAGAGGCTCAGGGGCAATGAGAGGATTCACTAGAGACAGAGTGGTGAGTGGATCAGGCAGATCAACAAAGTACACTGCTGAGGGGAGCACAGGCAGGTCAGGAGAGGTCTGCTGCGCCATGTGGTCACCTCCCGGGTGGGGACTGAACTCATGCTGAAGTGGCTTTAGCATCTCAGTGCTGTGCTTTAACCCTTTGCTCTACCAGGGAGGGCCTGTGAACAAAAAGACTCAGAAAAATATGGACATTATATCCTGCTTTTAGTTTTCCATTAGGAAAGGAAATAGGTACTGTCAATAGTGAAATAATTTACACATGCATATAACTAAAATGTCAGTATGCTCTCTTTTAGGTCCTTAAAGTAAAAGCAGATGATCAATAGTTCTGTATTGAGAACCTAATTTACATATTTAATTTTGCAGGTGGTGGCTGGAATGTTGTATCATATAGAATTCACAGCCAAGGAGACCACATGCTCCAAAGGAAACAACACAGACTTCAGCAGTAGCTGCGCGATCAAGGAGCCTGGGGTAAGCGGTCTCGCAGCCGGCTGCTTATTCCCCGGAAGCTTGTCTGATGGTTTAAACTTGTTTAAGTATTTCATGAATAACAGTTTTTCTCTTTTGGCTTCTGTTTTCTTGATAGCAAGTGCTAATCTGTGATTCTAGCATTTATACTGTACCTTGGATGAACACAACTGAAACTACTGTCAACTGTGACCCAAAACCAATGGTATGGTTCTGATTCTACTCGGTTTGGGCTCAATTTGGGTCATTTAAAAAAGTCATATTTAGTCATAACATGAACATGAACATGAAATGAAGTGGGTCATTATCTTTTACAAATGAGGCGAAATCTCATGTTTCTCTGCTTACTCTCTTTCCTGTGGCTGGAAATGAGCACAGAAGTCCTCTTAATATGCCCAACACATTGCCAATGTTCACGGCAAAGTAGATTCTCCCCACGGGAGTGCAGACCCTACCGTGGGTGCTAACACTAGCTGCACACCTGCCAGGGGTGTCTGAGGTGAGGCACGGGGCTCCCCTGCCCTCTGTTTCTATCCAAGGAGCTTGGGGGTCTCAGCCCCATGCTGCAGCTATTGAGTCAAAACCATCCCTAGGGGATCATGCCCATGTTCAAGTGTAAAAGGCATCAGTCTGCATCATCTTTTATTTTTTTAAGCGACTCCTGGGAGCTAAGTAATACTTTCCCTAGTATCTAGACTAAGCCAGTGGATGTTAGAATGATGCTGAGTCCCTGAGGTATATAATAACATTATCAAGAGCATCCTCTGTTCCAGGCACTGGACAGAGGATTTCAAGTACATTTTCCTCCTGATAATTCTACAAGGAAGATGCTGCTATTATTTTTATTGTGCAACTGGAAAAACTGAAGTTAGTGGTGCTTGTATGCACATACAGATTAAACCAGGCTCACCGTGGTTGCCACAAAGCCCATGACTCTAAGGTCTGACTCGTTTGACTCTAAAAACTGTGCTCTTTACACCTTATAATCCTTTTTTCCCATTATCCAAAAATCTTGATGTGTTGACCCAACTTTATAAAACTTCTGAGCAGCCTAGAGAAAATTAGTGAGTCTCTCAGTGGTCACTATCATGGACCCATCATGTAACATTGTGAACAGAATTCTGAACCCTTTCTGAGTCTTCATCACAAGTTTTTTTAACTAGCTTAGGAAATGGACAAATGAACGTGCCCTATGGTGTACTGGCTTTTCTAATAACAAATGTGTATCTGAAAATGGACATCACTGGTTTTCACAAGGACTTTGACATTCAGAATAAATGGTAGCATCTGGTTCCTGAACATGTGGAATAAAGGGAATTAGGAGACTGAAAACAACTTCTGGGGAAAAATATAATAAAAATTCCAAAAGGTCAGAAAGAAACAACAGAAATAAAGAGAGTCTATTCAGTGGGGGTGGGGGAGAATAGGAAATCAATGAGTTGTCCCCTGTTCCTAAAATGGGCTATTTAATACTCTTTATTCCCACTTGACAAAGCTTGTCTGATTATCCACTTTCTTCATGAGAGTGTGTCGATAAGTCAACAATTTATGTTTACTCATAAATTTTGTTAACTACTCAAGACTCAAAAAAGTTTTCTATTTATTGCTGAGGCTAGATTGAGTAATCCTTAGTTTTCAACAGATCTGAGTTTAATGGAATAAATGGAAAACAGGAAGTAATACAGTGGCAGGCTTGCTAAAAATCTCCCCTTTTTAAGTAATCAATAAAGCAATATCACAAGATGTGATACAAATTTTGTTCAGGGACAAAATGAAGCAATGCTTCTGTCATCTAGAATCACATTTTTTTTTTAAGATTTATTTATTTGTTCATACAGAACTGGGGTACGGGTCAGAGGCTCAGGGGTGGCGAGAGGCTTCACCAGAGACAGAGTGGGGAGCAGAACAGGCAGCTCGAAGTACACTGCTGAGGGGAGCAGCGGGCGGGTCAGGAGAGGTCTGCTGCACCATGTGGGTCACCTACGGGGCAGGCAGGGATCAAACCCATGCTGAAGTGGCTTAAGCTTTTTAGTGCTGGGCTTTAACCCGCTGCGCCACCAGGGGGCGCATTTTTTAATATTGAATGCTGTCATCAGGCTAACAGAGTTCTGCTGTATTTACAGGAGCTCCTGCAGTCCTGCGAATACCAGGTCCGTGCTCGGGGGGCCAGGGGCTGGAGCAGCTCCTGAGGGTGAGGCAGCACCCCCACAGCAGGCACAGTAGCCCCACTGCCCCCCTCAGCAGCCCAAGTGGACACACAAGAAGATGGGGTGGAATTTAAATAGAGAAGAATGTCATTGTATCACTCTGTCAGTGAACCAAATAAAGTTCTGTCTTGATAATCTCATTCCTGATTAATACACAGCGTTGCCTTTCAATCAAAACCCTCCTGCAACAGTCCAGTGATGGAGTCCATGGGTGGCGCTGAGGGGCTTAGAGATTGCCTCTGAAGTGCTGTTGTTAACCCTTAGCTATTGCATTTTTCCCACGGCAAAGTTTGGAGAACACATCTAGGTATCATTCACATCCAGAATATATAAAATAATTTGTTATGTATTGGCTAGTATGCATAGACTTAGCTTATATTTAGCCTTTTATTCACATATTAAAAACATAATGAGAACCATATAAAACTTCTTTAAAAGGAGTTTCTTTTTTTTAAGATTTATTTATTTATTTATTCGTACAGAACTGGGGTACAGGCCAGAGATGCGGAGGGTGAGAGGATTCACCAGAGACAGAGTGGG